AGGACGGGGGTATGTGGAAAAGAAGAAGAATGATCCAGCTTCAGAGTTCAGGGGCCTGGCAGGAACATGACCAGGCCCTGAAGAAGATGACAATCCTCTGTAGCTAGGTCTACATGGACTTTTGAGAGGTACCCTGCTTTCTAACATGCAAGTTTACCAGCACAAGTGAAATGGCTTAATTACATCACTTTAATTATACCATATCATTCTGTCTGTGGCACTGTTATTCTAATAGTGTCCATGCTAGTGGGGGACAGGTAATGCTTTAGCAGTATAACTACAGCAATACAACTGCACAGGGCAAGCCCTCAGAGAGCAGACATACGGACTACAAGACCAAAATAGATTCGATTAAAAGTTTGCAGGACATTCTAGGCAAGCTGAGTGAACTTCTCTCTACTGGTATTTAGCCAAAACACCAATGTTGGTTACTTTCTCTTGTAGACATCAGTTCTTCGCACTTCCTCTTTGAAGCCTGACTCCTTGTTCTGCTTTCTTAAGAATCAGAACTCTTTTCTATGCAAGACTATGAATCAGTACCTTTTTGTTACTGTCTGAAAAAATGTAGACTTACTTGTGCAAGCAGCGGTAAGCAATGCTTCCCTTTGCTGTCATTTTTCTTGTATTGAAGGTCTAGGATGTTTCTCCTTCACATTTACTTGGGAGGCAGATTCATAACTGAAGTCTATTAAAATGCACAGAGCTGCTCTATCATCTTTGGTGAATGTATTTATAGATAGTTTAATTCTCTCTCAATCAGCACAGAGTTATATCTTCCAATCAATGCATTCCATATTAAAAAATAAACATTTGTTTGATGCAGTCGAGCCTCTTATTGCTAGAGTATCTTTAAAACAAGGGTGGATTGTTTCCTTCAAGTATAATCCGCAACCCTGGATCTTTCTTACATTAATTGGTGCTGGCTTCTCTGAGTGACACAAGGGAATGCTTTTGAAGTTACATCACAATTCACAATTTTAGCACCCAATGTGGAGGATCTAAGATACTGTCAACCTGAAGTGGGCTTAAGTGCTTTCACAGCTCCCAAACTAGACCCCGGCCTATTCTATAAGTGCCCAACTGAAGCTAGCAAGCTTATCATTGGGCATGTCCAGACATGCATTTAGGCGTGCCTAAATTTAATGTGCATTAACACAGTGCAGGCTCACATCTACATGTGCACGCATTAAAGTGCATTAATGCTGTGTGCGGGGACTGTGGACTGATGTGAGACTAAAGTTACTGCCAACTCAGTCCATACGCAGTGTTAATGTGCTTTAACGCATCTACCTGTGCGTTAATGTGCTTTAGCTATTCACTCCCAAATTTAATACCTGCTTTTGCAGGTATCGCATTTAGACACAAATAGCCTAAAATTGCCATTTCTAAGGTGCATTAAGGGCATGCACATGTAGACACATGTCCTTAATGCACCTTAAATTAAGCTAAAGCACCTTAAATCTGCATGGGTAGATACACCCATTGAAACCAAATAACCAAAAAAAAGCAGGGTGGTTGTTACTAGTCTTTGTATCTTTCAGGCTTATTTCTCTCCCAAGTGTGTGCATGCATGCAAGAGGGGACAGTAGCCATTGAGTACTGGAGAAAGAAAGGTAGGGCCAACGTCTCAGCTGGTAAGTCAGCAAAGCTGGAGTTCATTGAAGCTATGCAATTGAGATTCAGAGCTGTAATATGACCTGGCACCAACCTATGAAGTGGCAGGAAGTCATATGGAGAACTGCAGACCCCCAGACCGCGGTTCTGTAATACCAGAAATTCCTCATTTTTCTTCCTGCACAAGAAGACTCCAGACTAAAGAAGGAAACCCTTCACACTGTCTATACTTTCATGTCATTTTAAACACAAGCCCTTTGTGGAAGAAAATCCTGTTGCTTTAGCTACGATGTTATACATACGAAGGGGAATTTCCGTCAAAATCAACACATCCTCTCCAGGAGGACTCACACTCCCAGCTATCGTAAAGCCTGGGTTCCAAAAACAAAAACACCACCACACAGCTACCTGCTAGTTCACATCTCTACCTACTTCTCTGCACTTGTTGAGCTGCGATCTTTGAGTCTTTTTCCCACAAAGACCTGAAACACTTGACTCAAGTCCCTCGATCGGTTTCCCTGGGGGGAGAGAACTACAACAGCGCGACTGAGCCACTTGCAAGACTCGCCCTTAAGGAAGTCTATTCCTCGCCATGAGCATAACAGTAGAAATGTATATATTACTCCATTGTAACCTCAATGCTGTCCTAAGGTCATCAGTAATCTACCGATACCGCTTGCAAGCACCGCTGTACTCCTTGCTTCAAGTTTACCATCAGGATCTTTGTAACTATGCAACATACAGAAACTGTATCAACTGCCAAAAGATAAGCCTGGAGGGCCTTTCAGGAATGTTTCCAGCAGGAGGAGGCCAAGCCCCAGAGATAAGAGTGGTAATGTTTTTGTTTTTTCTCCAACAAGAACAACCTTCGCTCTGAACAAGTTAGCAATTCCAATTGCTGCTTGTGAATCAGACTCCATTATGCTAGTGTTTTTATGGCTATGATGCGGACAATTTCAGACCTATAAAAAGTTGTGCAAGTGATTTACACAATCCCATAGTGATGGAAAGAACCCCAAATGCACAGGGTATGCTTTTGTGGTATAAAACTTTAACATTGCTACAAGTTCTGAATTTTCAACTTTTGCTACAGAATAGTTCCCTTAAAGCCAGAATAACTTTATGCAAGGAACCCAATTACTCTTTGAATGCTGGTAAAATGAAATAGGGGGGAAACCCTGAACAGAAACAGTTTCAAAATAGGTATCAAGGACACAGATGAATTCTTGCAAGGACGGAAAAATGTGAGCTGTGGGGAAAGCCAGGTTTTCACTTCCACAGAGAATGTAGGTAGCCAGCATTTAGAAATAGCCTAGCAGATGCAATTATGTTAATGCAAGAGTAATGCTACAACACCTAATGATGCGAGGAACTAAAGAGAGCAAGGTTACACAAGTGCCTATCAATTGTGTGTGCACGCTAATTTCTCAACAGAGTATATTCCCCACCAACCAGAAATATGTGCACGCTACACCTGTTCCTTCATTTATTATGCCTCAGCTAAATAATCAGCCTCTTAAAACATTTTGAAAAAAAAAAATTAAATTGTGCTAAGTGTATTAGGCACTTAGCAGAACTTGCAGTCTGGAGAAAAATTAAGTTGTCTAGATTTTCTGTATAGGTTTTGCACAATGGTAGAGCGGAATATTCTCCAGGTATGCACAGCCTATGAGACCCTACTACCCTTTGGTATTAGCAGGAGCAACAACAACATTAAGCAAAAAACTAATGGCTTTATAGCATTTCAGAGAATTGCAGAAAGTTTCTGCCATCTTCTGCCTTTACATTTGAGGGATCACCCATTTCCATGTCATAGGAGCATGACTGGAAGCATAAAACAGCAACATGCCCCACTATAAATGAAACTTCAAAAGGCGGCTTGATTCATCAGTTGGGGACAGATCATTCTCCAGTTGAAGCTAAATGGAAGTTTTTGGTATCTACTCACAGTGGACCAAATCCAGGAATAACAGAGCATCCACAAGGTCTGCTGCATGGCAGTTTGCACGTATACCTATACAAACCAATACCAATTAGGTTCCTAGAAACCTGGTAGTTTGTAAACAACTGTCTGCTCCTGTAGCCAGGTCTTAGTCATTAGAAAGAAATTGCCATTATCTTGAACTTGTGTCTGGCCATTAAAGAATTAGATTCCACACATTTTCTCCAGTATGAGCAAGCAGCCTGACTTGAAGCAAAAAACTGGCTCAAACAGTGGTATGGAGAGCGTTTCTGCAAGTGCTGCCCAGTGGCTATACCCACTGGCTGTTACCATGCTAGTCCGAGTTAAGGATAAAAAAAAAAAAAACACCAAAAAACCCCCAGAGCTATGCTTAGATTTTACAGACGCACTTAAATATCCATGAGGAATTTTACTCGCCAGCATGGATGAATGGTTCAATTCACCAAGTTAACACTGCAAAGCCACCTCACTTTTGCTTTGCCACATGCCAGCAGTGTCAGATCTGAGCTGCCTTCCATTTTACCTTATCACCAGGTCAAGATGTTCTTACTCTAGAAAGGCCAGTTTAGATTGCTCATTTCCTTTGTGCTGCTTTGTGGCTTTTGATAAAATTCCAAACACAAGGACATGTTACCCTACAAAGCAAAACTTTAAGATATGCCTGTTCTGATAGGCACAGAAAGTGGTCAGCTGTTACATAGGTTTTATTGTATCCAGTTGACACAACAGGATGTAGTCACTATGCATGTTGTCTCACCCTACTGCTATTTGTTCCTTCTCATTGCCTCCTTCACCCATTTCTTATGGCTCATTGAGAATGAAAAGCTTTTTTGGGGTGAAGAACCACTTGTTGCAGTTGTAGCATAGCACATAGGGTACCTATACAGGAGTGCGGAGACTGCTTCAACGCTCTGGAATTTCAGTGCACCAGAGTAGACTTGACTGAGTCTGCCAGAGCATGGCAATTATTGCGCTCCAGCAGCCTCCTGTGTCTCATGCATCAGTGTCCCTATGCTTAAAAGTGGCAGCAGAGGGTTGAACTAAAGCTCTAAACGGGACGCTGATACATGAGACGTGGCAGCATTTTAAATTGGAGCGGCTCTCAGAGCCACTCTAATTAAAGTGCTGCCTCCCCCCCACCTCCCAGAGCACATGTAGAAGTGCCCATAAACCTCCAAGTCCTCCTACAACTGCAACAAATCTATTTAACCATATTAGTGTTAACAATTTGGAAAGCACTATCCATCAATGGTGCAAGTATTTGAGTCTTCTTTGTCTTTATCCCAGAAGTTTAGAGGGAAAAAACCCAAACAAGTTTTGATCTATGAACAGGGGGGGGGAAAAAAAAAAAAGCACTTGAAGGTAGCTGCCCCTCCAAGAGATTTTACATAAACTTTTGTCATCAAAATAAGTCATAGACAAGCCAGTAGAATATACTTTTATTTACATTTCATATTCAAAGGAATTCAGTACAAATCATGAATTATTTACAACATTTTTAAATTACACTGCACAGAAATAGGAAAAATGCATTGTTTTCTCCCAGTAGGTTCAACAAATGAAAGTACTACATTATTATTGCTGTTCTTTAGAGTAAATTCTACTAGCACTGACATCAGAAACACCACCACAAATTACAACAAAATAAAGTGCATTTTTAAGATGCATTTAGTTAACTTTGGTGGACAAGGCTCTAGACTTTGAATTAAGGCACCGTGTTCCACCCAAACACCCTAGTCCAGCTCCCCACAAATGTTAGAAAGCTTTATCAGAAATAATTTTCTATCTGTTTACAGCACATCAGCTGTCACTGCAATTTTAACCAGCTTGCTACACTAAGCACCCCTTACGTCCTTTTCCAGCTGTTGCCTTATGTTATTTTATTGGGTCACTTTCAGTAGACCTTCAATCTCAGTGGACAGACGTCAGACTTCCTCCAAACCAGGACTAGCAAACATTGCTGGTGTTGAAGCTATGGAAACAACTCCTGGACCCAGCGGTAGTTTTCAGACTCTGCTTACACTATTTTACAAACTAGAAAAAAAGCCAGACTTGTTCCCTTTACAATGTTATGCAAATCAGATGCAACTGGTCATTTGAAGCCCTTGAAAACATTTTTAGGAATGTGTCTCAGATGGATTAGAATCTTTACCTTTCATCTCCACTAGGTTAAATATATTCCAAAAGATATTACAGGCAGAACACACTGACAGACATTTCCTTGAATTTTGTCCTCTTACATTTAGTGCATCGGTATTATTGACATTGCTTTAAGACACACATCTGCATCAGTTTAAACAAGTAGTCATCCAGATCAAAATCAATTTGGTTGTAATAAAATTCTATTTTTATACTAAATCTAGAAGCCAAGAACCTCAAACAACAAAACAAACAATTCCCAAAAGAAACAGCTACTACAGGATGAGACAGTCTTCTCCTTATTTTAAAGAAAGGACATCGGTTTTCAAAACCTGAACAGAAGTTTTGCTCTGTAATAGCATGGCCATGTTAGGCAGGTTTGGTTTAGTGTTAAAATCTAACTATTTTCTTCATCTGTTCCCTTGAAACAGCTCATGTGGAGAACGCTAGAACTAAGGTCCATGTGGAACATAACGTGTTTAAATGAACAGAAGGTTAAGCATTCCAAACCACATAATTATGAGTTGTTAAAACAAACAAAACAAGCAAACAAACCCCTCTCCTATTTCTTCCTGATATTTCCAAGGTAACATTGCTGCAGTGGTAGTCTACCAATTTGTTGGTATGTCTGATGTATGCATGACCACGGCCGGCAGTTTGTTACAGAGGGTCCAACTGTGTTGCTGGATGGATCAGGTTTAGGACCTGATTTCATGATCACGTGTTTCATCTTCTTCAAAGCTGGGGTTATCAAGGTGTGGGAAGACATCCACGGCTGGAGACGGGGAATCATTGTTGATGAGATGCAGGTCGTCATGGTTGCCATCTTTCAGGAGAAAGAGAGAGTCAACAATCAAAAAGAAATAAATTCTTAAGAGTTACCGTTACCCTGAAGCATGTGTAAGGCCTCAAGTCCTCACCCTCAGCCTGATCAGTGAGCTCCCTACACATGAAGTCCAGGCCCTTTCAGGTTCATTTATTCATTTGATCTCCATGCCACCCTTTCCAACCGAGGCTCAAGGCAGCTTACAATAAGAGAACAGAAAATTTCTAAACACAGAAAGTGACAAAACAACTTCAATGGGAACTAGAGTATCAGCCTGAGACCCCCTAACAAGGTCTCAAGCTTTGCTTGACGAATGCCTGCACGAATTGGAAGGCCTTACAGTGCACCTAAATGCTGTGCCCAGGCTCCAGCAATTTTGAAAGGGAGGCAGTTCCAGACCTGAGGAGCATTGCTGAAAACAATGTCACACAAATGGATTTGGCCTATTGATACTCACAGGAAGGTGCTCTTGGCTGACCTCAGGGTTCACACTAGGCAGTAAGAAGGCAAAACCTTAGGGCCCAGTCTGTCTAGGGCCTTTAGAGGTCTAAACCAGCACCCTGAATTGCACCTGGAAAGTTACTAGAAGCTAGTGAAGACCATGGCCACCTCCTTACTTCCTCGTTTTTGGTGTCCAGAAAGTGACAACTGGACTTTGGCATGAACGTCCCAGACAAGAGAGCTCCAGATTATACAGGAGGAAGACAAAAATAGCAGAATAGACAAGAAGCTTAGCAAGAAGGTAGCAGCAGTCAACCAGAACAATGCTACCATACACTAGACAGAGCCATGGAAGAGGGAAAGGCACTTGAAGACCAGAGTGGCAAAGACAGAACAACAGTTGAGCTAGTTAAAAGAAAAAAAATATGTACACATGGAAGCGGTGTATGTTTGGCTACAGGGGTTCGGCATGAAAAACATCTGAGGGCCAACAGCTGGCCTACGTGGAAAGATTTGTTTGCACATTCAAGTGAAAAGCACAGACCCAAATGTAAACACCCACCTGTGCTTTCCAGAGCAAAATGCCCCAACAGGTGGCAGCAAATGCCACTTCTTCTGAATGATTCTTTCAGAACTGCTTTTCATTACTCTGCTACAAGTGGGGTTTTGTTGGATG